GGCATCATGTGGTTGGGATGGTCCCTCCCCACCCCCTCCACGTGCAAAATTGTCCCAGCCCTTCATGGTACCATCTCTTCAACTCGGCCCAATGCACTGCTGGAACTACACGTGTCACTGCCGTCATCTACGATTCGGTCCCCAAACGCAAAGGTATGACACGTGCAGTCAGGAACTAAAACGGAACAACAGGGCAGACGTTGGATATTAGGGAAGTAAATACCCATCCTTGAAAGAATGACGACTACAATCGAGGGCTTTATAGGAACAAAGAGAAGGAAGATCCCCACAGCTAGAGCTGTGTCAGGGTCTGTTACTTAAACCCGGTCCAAAGGACCACCTATCACTCACCAAGCGATGCCCACTGAAGGAGGAAGACGCAAATTCACCAGGAAGAGATGAAAGTTTAAAAACACCATGAATGACCGGTGTACAATTTGCTCATGACACAGGACTCTCTGAAGGCACTGAGGACACTGAGTTTAATTACTTGTAAACAAAGGAAAAGAAGAATACTGTTAAGTGAACCTCCACCTCGAAATCTTTGTGCCCTGTCAAAATTGCTCTTCGGGAAGTTTTACTGCTGGTTTGTTAACCTTTCCCTGACAAAAGATAAACTGAGATCTTGTGCGTTTATCTTTCTATTCAAAATCACATCATAATCATTCAAGTATACTGCTTTAAATTTAATATTCAGACACAAGGCTTTTTACAGGTTTGGTAGGAAGAACATGAGAACATGAAAACTGAAGATTACTCAGCTCTCCCTCCTTATTGGTACTTTCTACACATACTGGGGGTGGGGGGGGGCAGAGGAAATTCATTCTGCTGCATGGCTCAGCATGATTCACAAATTGCAGGCTAGCATTTTGAAATGTCATTTTTATTGATCTCCATTTGATGTTCCATTTGCCTTTCCTGGAGTAGACGAATTACGTTTATGGCATTTCCCTAATAGCAGACCTTGAAAATCTGAGTTTAAATTGAGCTCTGAAAAAAACGTAACCAAATGAAGTTATCAACTAAACAAAACCATACGGATGCACATAAATTATTGCTTATTTTAGCATTAAAATATATCTTCTCTAAGACTTCATAGGTCACAATAAAGGTGTCAGCACACTACATAATAGAATAACATCTCAGGGCATGACAGGCAGCTAGAAACTGTAAGGAAAGTCAAATCTCAGACACAAAATGTAAATCTGTCAACTGAACACATGAAATCAAAAGCATGGCTCAAAGAGTGAGGTTAAAAAAACAAATATCCAATCCTCTTCTGTAGCACCTAGCCATCTGTGCAGGACAGCCAGTTCCGTAATAAAAATCAAGTATAACAAGCCAATTTATATGGCTAGCTACATATTTCTTTTCTAGCAATTTGGAAAAGAAATTACCAATGCGAAGCTATTGTTACTCCACAGTAACAGATAAAAGTTTGCTTTATAGAATAGGAATCACATTTAAATGCATTTTAATACTTTCAAATGGTGTAGTTATTTCCTAAGACCATTTGTAAATGAGTTGTAGAAAGTTCACTTAGAAAACAATTACAACGTCAAGTAACAGTACATCATCCTTTGGGTCATTTACACACAGGAACGAACTGCGAGTTTCCAGCTGAAGACACTCTAAGAGAACAGGTACTTAATAACATAGAATAAGGAACTTAGTAAGCCTTTGATTTTAAAAAGCCAAAATTTTACGTGTTTAGAGGAATGACTGATTTCAAATGTTTTACTCCACAGAAAGCATATAAGAAAGCATGCAGCATCAATCACAGACAGAGCAAGACAGTGAAATCAATGCCAGTGCATTTCAAAAAGCTTCAACTTCTACCCATCCTCCAAAACCTGTTCCAGTCCCATGTCCTTAAACGGTACCAATCAGCTAAGGCACAAGGTAGCTGTATCACTGCTGACCTCCCAGAACACCCAGCTTTTTTTCCTATAAATACTGTCTACATTTAACACATTCTTCTTAGCACGATGTTATCTTTGTGTATCTCAACTCCATTACTTGCATTTTAAGTTCTTTTTGAGACCTCAACAAAGAATGACTATATGGATGCATGGATGGATGGATGGATGGATGGATGGAAGGAACGAAAGAAGAGGAAGGAAGAGGAAGGAAAGAAGCAGCAAACAAGCAAGCAAGCTTGGGCAACAAAATCCAAGGTTATGGGTTACAGATGATCTCAGATGTTGAAAATTATTTTATTAAGACATGTTCTCAGGGCGCCTGGGTTGCTCTGTCAGTTAAGCATCTGACTTCGGCTCAGGTCACGATCTCATGGTTCATGGGTTTAAGCCCTGTGTCAGGCTCTCTGCTGACAGCTTGGAGCCTGGAGCCTGCTTTGGATTCTGTGTCTCCTCTCTTTCTGCTCCGCCCCTACTCGGGCTCTGTCTCTCTCTCTCAAAAATAAATAAACATTAAAAAAAATAATAAAATTTAAAAAGACATGTTCTAAAGAATCAGCACTAGATTACAAATGACAGTACGACCTCTGAGAAATAACCTTTTGAAAATTCTTTAATTCTTCATATTTTAGCCAATGCTTTGATATTCCAATTAACATGAAATAGGAATTTCAAAAATTATTATCAAAAAGCCATATTCTGGCAGCACAAAGACAGAACAGTGGTTTAGCTCCAGACTGAAATGTTCTTATACAAGGAAACAAGATCACCAAGATGTTCTTATAGTTTAAGTGAATCACCAATATCCTTATGTAATATAAAAAAGATGCTTATCAGGTAGAATTGAAATGGCAAAGTATAAGAGACTATGTATACATTATGATGACAACCTTGTAAAACAAACTTTAGCACAGGTCAAAAAGGCTGAGAGAAAATACTACAAAATGAACAAAATGAGGGGCTCAAGGGGAGAGATCACAGGTGATATTTTTCTACTTTGTACTCTCTGCGTCTTTGGTATTCTTTGTCATTACGATAGATCTCTATAGAACTCATGTTTTATCTACTTAGATCTCCTTAAATCAAATCAGCACATACCATATGTTAATTTGCGTCTGCTTTCATGTTTAAAAATGTTTTAGAATCAGGGGCATAAGTCTGCGTCACTGCTAAGCCATTCCAGTAGTAATGGCTTTAATGAGGTTCCTCATCTGCGCCAGGCCTCAATTTTCTCATCTAAGTAAATAAACTGCCTCAGCAAGATTAAATAATTCTCATGTGAAACACTTAGCCCACTAGCCCGCTCACAGTAATGCTCAATTTACATTAATTTCCTTTTAAATATTTTGTACTGTTGACTGAATTCCCATATAGTAAATGGTCATCACTGATTAAGTACTTTGGTTAGGGGTGATCAAGTTATCCTGTGAAAAGCCTCCTCCCTCAAAGGACTTCAAAATCCAAGAAGCTCAAGAAAGATGTTTTTAATAGAGCCTAGTTCTCCTTTCCACTTAGCCTAGATAAGACCTCAGAATCCTTCTGAACACAGCAGCCCAGGGAGCCAGCACACTTGCTGTGAGAGTAAAAACCTATTTGTCACCAGCGGCCCAGACCAGGGGCTTCGCAAGGAGCTTCTCCCAGCACACAGGAACAAGGCCTGTGACACAGAAGGAAGTGGCCTTTCACAGATCTCCCAAGAATTAAATCCAGGAGTCAACTTCCAGTCACTCAATAAAATATTTCAACAATGTAGATTTTTAAAAATAAATGTCCACAGTTTTAGAAAAGTGTTTTGTTTCTTTTAGTGCTGCAAAATAGAAACATTATGGTAAATCTTCATAACAGTGGATAGGGTCATGGATTCCTAGCTATATCATCAAAAAGCAAAGAAAACAAAAGCAAAAATTTGATAAATTGGACTTGATCAAATTTAAAAACTCTTGTGCATCAAAGAACATCATCAAGAAAGTGAAAAGGCTATTTACAGAATAGGAAAAAGTGTGTAAAAATCCTATATCTGATAAGGGTCTGATGTCCCTCAACATATAAAGAATTCCTGCAATTCGACAACAAGAATTACAACCCTATTAAAGATGAACAAGGGACTTGAATAGACATTTCTCCAAAGAAGATATACAAATGGCCAACAAGCACATGAAAAGATAATCAACATCGTTACTCACTAGGGACGTAAAATTCAACACCACAATGACACATCACCTCACAAGTACTAAGATAAATAAAACACACACACACACACACACACACACACACACACTAGTAAGTACTGACAAGGATGTGGAGAAACTGGAATCCTTGTACGTTGCTGGTAGGGATGTAAAATGGTGCAGCCACTGTGGGTAAGAGTTTGGTGGTTCACCAAAACACTAAACACAGAAATATCGTATGATCCAATAATCCCACTCCTAGGTATATATAGAAAAGACTTGAAAACAGAGACTCAAGCAGACATTCGTATGCCAATGTTCTCTGTAGCATTAGTCACAACAGCCAAAAGGTGGAAATGGTGTTCACTGATGAATGAATAGATCAACAAAATGTGGTGTGTGTGTGTGTGTGTGTGTGTGTGTGTGTGTGTGTGTGTGTGTGTGATGCAGTATTACTCAGCCATAAAAAGGATGAGGTTCTGACACAAGCCACAACATGAACGAACCCTGAAAACATGCTAAGTGAAATTAACCAGGCACAAAAAAAGCCAAATCAGAAATACATAATTCCACTTACATGGGGTAACTAGAACAGTCAAATTCATACAGACATAAATTATATGAGAGCTTACCAGGGTTTGGGAAGAACTGGAATGGGAAGTTACTGCTTGATGATAAGAGAGTTTCTGTTTGGGGTGATGAAAAGGTTTTGGAAATATATAACGGTGACAATCGCATAACTGTGACTACAATTAATGCCACTGAACTGTACATTTAAAATTATTAAAATGGCAAATGTTATGTTATATATATTTTACCATAATAAAAACTTTTTAAAAAATGGAAGTAAATTTAAGGACCCAGGAAAAAAACAAAAGAAAAATAATAAATAAAAATGACACCACATCAGCACCTTTCTGCACACTGCGTTCGGGATAGAGGCGGCTGACATCTTCGGTTATGAGCTTCTCGGGCAGCAAGTCTAGCTTCTGACAACTGGAAAAGAATTAAAAAAACATTTAATAAACTACCAAACTTGCTATCATCCTAGAAAACCCGGTATCACATTCTGACATTAAGAGGCCAATTAGAGCAGCTCAATGTTGTAAACAAGCATCTGTTTCAGGGGAAAACAAAACAAAACACATTAAACTGGTAAGGTTCTAGAGTAGTACGAAGCAATGCCTAACATATTAAAGCCCTGCAGGATTATCTCACAGTGATTTTAACAGACGTGCAGGAGAGTCGTATACAAGACTGTATTCCAATAAACCCAACAAAGCTGGAATTTTTCTAGACAAAATTTTCAGAAACTTCAACTGGAGCTGAGTCCAAGAAGATACCAAGCTGACAACTACATCCCTACGTGCCTTCATCAGTCATATAGTAACTGTATAAAGGATGCTCACTCAAATGTTTAAAAAAAAAAAAAAAAATTTTCTAAAACACTGCCTGACGTGATCACAACCTAGACTCGCCAGGGAGAAATCTATACTAACACCTCTGAATCTTAAAGGGAACTGTCTTTGAGACAGTTATTTACAATATCAGTAATCAGAGTTAAGTTGAGAGTAGGTCTAAACTCCAGTCCCTTGACCCAAAAACCATGTCTTCATCTATCCAAAGAGATTTATCTCATTTAATGCTCAAACTGCGTTTTTATTGGTTCACACATTCTCAAACAAATTGTCACATACATCAAAAATAAAAACATGTATGTCCACAAAGTTGATATACCTTTTCATCTTCCCATTGAAAAAAATTACAGTCTTTTCTATCTCTACAGGCTGAGCAGGCATAAAACCTCCGTGATTCTTCTTTCCCTTGGTTCACCTTTACAAACAGAAGAGTGGGTCCTAGTTCCAGAAAGGGACAAAACATATCAACAATCGTCATCTACATCAAGTTCTTAGTTTTCACTGCCCTTAAATAAAGCTTGATTTGGTTTTACGCACAATTTGTCATAATTCAACCTACACTCTGTTTAATTACTTTTTTTTTCCGTCACAATGTTTAGACACTGATGACTGAAGAAATGGCTTTTACAAACTAGTCTCTCCAGAAAGAAAATGCCGTAGTCAGTTGCTGTCTACATGATGAATGACCTGGCTCCTGAGACTAAAACATGGCCAGGGTCCAGAGAACTGAGCATTTTGCCACCTCCACCCAGTTATCCTTTCAGTGAAAATTTGGGCTTTTGGAGTTGGACACATCCTCTCTCCATAAGTTAGAGAAAAACTAGGTCTGGTTTCTAAGCAATAATTCACGCTATTCTTCTCCCTTTCTTTTTAAATTTTTATCTTTTATTTTAGAGAGGGAGAGCGCGCGAGCGGGGGAAAAGGACGAAGGGAGAGAGACACAGACACAGACACTCCTCAACAGGTTCCATGCTCAGCGCACGGAGGGAGGGGCGGGGAGGCTCGATCCCACCACGCTGGGATCGAGACCTGAGCGGAAATCAAGAGTCTGTGGCTCAGTCGACTAGCTACGCCCCTCTTTCTCCCTAACTTTTTAAAATAAAGATATCAAAACAACCAATGAAATCCACAAGTACTTGGCAATGGATTTACTCAATAACATGCATCCCCTTTGCTTAGACTGTCTCTTCCCTTGGCGGGGAGGGGGGGAGGGGAATGGAACAGCCACGGAGCCAAAACCGCAACAGTGAGGACTTCCTATGACAGTGTCTTAAACAAGCTGAAAACACTACGTCCCGAAGAAAGGGCGTTTTCTAGGGATCACACATGGTGGTAGAGAGCATAAAAATCTGGGAGCCGTAAGAAGCCCATGGCATCTTCAGGCTAACCCCCGCCCCTTGCGCCCGAAACCTCGGCAGAGCCCAAACGCGCACCCACCGTGAGGGCACACCGGGGCAGGCGTGGCGGGATCAGAAGGAAAAACCACCTCCACTCCCGAGCTCCCCTGAAGACCCGAGTTCCCCTCTTCCTCCACCGCTCCCAGCCACTCCCTGGGGGCCGCCATCTTCCCGCCACCGTCCCGAAAGCCTCCGTGCAAACAAAGGAGTCTGAGAAAGAGTGCCGCCACGCGGCACGGGGAACTCACAGCGCCCCCGCGCGTCTAGGAGGAGCTGAGACCGCCGGGGCTGAGGCTACGCCCCGAAAGGCAGTCTCTTCTGCCCCTGGCTCCCCCCAAAGGGGTCCCTGGCGGGCAGACCAGGGTAAGGGTTTGGGGAAATGGGGGGGGGGGGGGATACTTGCACGCAATTTATTGGACCTGTGCAATAAGCTCACCTATTATCTGCTCTACCCTTAGCACCCCAAGCACCATCCTCTCGTAAGAATACAGCCAAAAGATGAGAGGACTCTTTGGAGCAAAGATTTGGTGGGGTTTTAAGACCAAAAGGCAGCATCACCACCACCAGTAGCTGACAATAGAAATAGCTGCAGCAACCGCGTTTGAGGGAAACATCCTCTTCTTTCTTCCCCAAAGTGAGAGTCACGCTGTCATCTTCTACCTCTTGGGCAACTGTTAACAGTTGAACGTTATCGTTGCATGTGCATCGACATCTATACATCAGAGAGAGGGAAATAAACCTGTCCCTCTTTGCATACGACATGATTGTCTACATAGAAAATGCCAAGGAATCTGCAAAAATAATTCCAGCTGAAATTGAGGTCAGCAAGGTTGCAAGATAGGAGATTAGGAAACATACAAAACCATCCTACTTCCATAGTCTAGGAATGATCACGTGAACGCCCAAATTAGAAAGGAAATACCACTTACAACTGCTGAGATAAATGAAATACTTAGGTGTGAATCTAACAAACATGTCCAGAACTTGTATGTGGAACACTACAAAATGCTAATGACAAAATCAAAGGTCTAAATAAATGTAGAGACTGTGTCACTAGGTTAAGAGTCAACATAGCAGGGATGTCAGTTCTCCCCAGGTTTAGTGCATGTACACGTTTAACAGCATTTCTATCAAAATCCCAGCCAGACTTTTGCAGGTGAAGACATTATTCTGAAGTTTATAGGAAAAGCAAGGGAACTAAAGTAGCCAAAGGAACTTTGAAAAATAATAAAGAAGGAAGAATCAGTCTATCCAATTTCAAGACATTATAGCATACACACGCACATACGCACGGTTATGGGTGGAAAAGTAAAATTCTCCTTATAGTTCTAAAGAATTGATTTACACACACATATCTAACATCACACGTTTAGTCCTACGGCATATTAATTTAGAAATATTGCTCTTTTTCATGCACATTTCATACAGTGGTTTCACTCGATTCTCTCACCTGCACCTTCAGCATCTGGACTTTGACATAACGATGTCCCCGTTCAAGCTGTCCAGCACTGGTTGCCAGTGCACGTTATCTGCACTTATATGTCATTTGGATAGAAAATTCGAGACCCGGGGTGTCTGTGGCTCAGTCAGTTAGGGTCTGACTCTTGGTTTCAGCTCAGGTCATGATCTCATGGTGTCGTGAATTCAAGCCCCATATCAGGATTCTCTTTCTTTCCCTCTCTCTGTCTCTCTCTGCCCCTCCACAACTTGCGCTGTCTCTGTCTCTCTCAACATAAATAAATAAACTTTAAAAAAATTTTAAAAAACCCTCTAGATCCAAACATGATGATACTTTGAGAAATTTCATCTCAAGACCTAACTACCCATTCTCATTAACACTAACACTTTTATTGAAAAACTTTTCTTCCAGGTACAGATTTGTGATCTTTAAAAGACTTCTTTACAAAATTTGCAGTTGGATTCATGAACTCCTATCACCAAAAATAGTCACTGAATCCGTATTTTTCTAATTCTCCCTTTAACTCCCGACTCTGTGGGGTGACCTCTCTAAGCAGCCTAAGACGGTATGGATTTGCAGCCTTAACGGGTAAGCTTCCCCAAACAGTACAAGTATGACAAAGGTCGACCCAAATAAGGTAAAGTACCCTTTAGTGTGAGAGAATCGGAAGGTTTCAAAATTAAGGCAGTTCCCTCTTTTCCGGGGGATAATTTTGGGAAGGAAAACAAAACAAAACAAAACAAAACCCTCACCTTATATTCAGACATATCTGGTAAAAGTCGTGCGTGTTGAATATTTGCTGAGAGGGGCGAGACTCTGACTTCACAACAATAAGCTGGGGATGTTTCTTCCCATCGTCTAATCTGTACAGGAAAATCCTTGGGTGGAAGAAAGCCGAGGGACAGAGAAGGATGCTCAAAAGGAAACCAGTGGCAGAGCTGGAGGTGGGTCTCCTGAGCCCTGAGCGCAGAGCCAGACCCTGGGCTCGCAGAGCATAGTCTCTGACACCAGGCCACTAAGACGGGTCCAGTTCAGTGACTCCTCCAACCGGAGGACACGGGCAAACCGCCCAGCTTCCTGCGGGACCCGGAAGTCTTACTCCTTACTTTGCCAGTAGGATGGAAGCTCTCCAATCTCCAAATCTACCGCAGAGAAAAGGGTTGAAGGCAGAGGAGCGTTTTGTAGTGATGCCTGACCGACTTCCCTGTCTTCTGTACCAGAACCCCAGTTTCCCTCGGCAACCCTCCCCAACTTTAGCTCACGTGATTGGAGAGGTAGGAAGAACCACGGGGACCGGCTTGGCTTTGGGCAAATGCCCGGGCGCTTCTGCTAGAACGGTTGGGAAAGAAACTACAGTAGTTCAATGTTGTCGTCTCAGTGGCATCCGAGATGTTGATTTCTCATGTGCCGCACAGGTTCAGCTTTCCCATCTCGCCTGGGGTGGGTGACTGGCTTGTCTAGGGTCGCGTTGGCCGAGCTAATTCGGCTCTGTTCCGTGTGTCTCTCGTGCTCCTCCTGGATCCAGCGGGCCAGTCTGGACATGTCTTTCTCATGGGAACAGCCGGAGCTCAAGAGTTAGGACAAAGGGACAAGCTGCTGGAAGCCTGGGCTTGGGGCTGCCACTGTTACTTCCACCGTAGGCTTTTGGTTCAGGCAAGTCGCACGGCCAAGCATTGCGAAGTTACATGGCAAAGGGCAGTGGGTCAGAAGGGGGTGAAGAAGGGGAGCCAGTGACACAATCTGTCACTGAAGCGCTCTTCACTGGAGCAACCAGGTAGCTGTTGGTATTTGTGGTAGTTATGGTTTTTGCAGTTGCCCACCACTTAAGGAGCGCCTGCCTTGGCCCAAAAGCCAGTAAGAGGAGAACAGAATTAGGAAATGGGAACGTATGAGGATACCACATGAGCACCTAGACCCAGCCATGCCTGAAGCTTTCACTTATGTGGGTCATAGAAGTTTCTCCTTAAGCCAGTTTGAGATGAGGTTCGTTCTATCAGTCACACCCAAGAATGCCAACTGGGGCTCCTGGGTGGTTCAGTCCGTTAGGCATTCCACTCTTGATTTCGGCTCAGGTCACGATCTCTCAGTTTGTGAGTTTGAGCCTTGCATCAGGCTCTGTGCTGACAACATGGAGCCTGCTTGGGATTCTCTCTCTCTCTCTCTCTCTCTCTCTCTCTCTGCGCCCCTCCCCCACACTCTCTCGCTCTCTCAAAATAAACTTCAAAAAGAATGCCAACTAAGGCTCTATGGCTGCAACCATAATATGGCACGGATGTACCTTCTACTAATATGCCTTGAAGCTCCTTTCTGGTCAAGACCAGCTAACCCCTCTCTCCATTCTCCCTGCCGTCCCCCCCCCCCCCCCCCCCCCCCCGTCAATATGCCGCCCGCGTTTGCCCCTCCAGTGTGAGAGCTGGGAACAAGGTGCAGAAGAGAACGTGCATTTATGTGCGTGAAGGTGACTGTTCCTTCACATAGAAATGAAACCCAGAGATCAATAAATCTACTAAAAGCAAAGTTCCCTGGGTTCCATAGTGTCCCCCAAAGATTGATATCCCCCTGCAACCTCAGAATGTCGATCTCGAAATAGGGTCTTTGCAGGTGGAATCGGTTAAGGATAGAGGAGATATCATGCTGGATTCGGGTGAACCCTACATCCGACGAGAGTGTCCTTTTGGGGAGAGGAGAGGACACAGAGACACACACAGAGAAAGCCACAGGAAGACGCCACGAGCCAGGCAACGCCTGGGGTCACTAGGATCTAGGAAGAGACAAGGAAAGATGCTCCGCTAGAGCCTTGGACGGGAGCCTCACGCTGCTGACACTGCCAGAGCTGTGAGAGGATACATTTCTGTTGTTTGAAGCCTCCTGGTTTGTCGCACTTTGTCACAGCAGCCCTCGCAAACATACGCCTCATCTGGGTTTGACATCCTCCTCCCGGAGAGCCCAGCTCTTTGTTTTATCTTCCAAGTGACCTTGGAGAAGTCACTGTCTGAACTTCGGTTTCCTCACCTGTAAAAATAACCACGTCTACCCTCAAGGACTGGGAGGGTCAGCGTACGTGAGCAAAAAGTCACAGGGCACTTCGTCACCAGCCCAGTGACGTGTACAGGTTAGTCGTCACGTTATTCCTTTATGGCTGCCTTCAAGTAGGTCAGGGGGCCACTCTAAGGAAGAGAACCCATTTCTTCTGGATTATTCAACATGGCCGGCCCCAGGTGAGATTATAAAAAGACAGATTTGGGCTAAGAAAGAACATGGGGTTCCTACACATGGAGCCTGGGGTGCAGATCCTTTTGCAAGTGGTGTTTGGAAGGAGAAACTTGTAAAGAGGTCAGAGGAGCAGGAAAGGGCAGAGGGGTAGAGCCGGGGCAGACGTGTTTCAGCCAGAGTGGATCCTCAGCCTGATGCACAGGGAGCTCTGGCATGCGACCAGTCCTGAGGCATTGCCTGGTCTCGGGGTGCCCTTTTGTACCCTACCACCAGTCAGTCCTAATCCCAGGCTAAGTTGAAATCCTCTGTGGGACTTCACAGAAGGCCCTTCAAGGGACTGACTCCTCTGGGCAATGTATCTCCTTACTCTTCATCCCTCGTCCTCCCTTCTGGTGGAAAGCAGATGTAACGGCTGAAGCTCCAGCAGCCATCTTGGGCCTTGAGGTCACTGTGAGACAGAAGGCAAAAAGATAGGAAGAACTGGTCGAAATATAC